TTGTTTATAAGCCCCCTAGTCTATGGTATTCTGTTATAGCAGTGGATGGAGCCCACTAAGGCATCCCCTTTCTTTCTTTATCGCTGAGCCATCTCGGTAAGATCTTTGGGAAGCACTGTTTGAGCTGTGGCTACATTAGGGAGCAAACTGATCATCACAGGAGTTGAGTTTTCGGTGTTGGCGACTGGGCAGACTCCTTATTTTTTGGTGTTTTTTAGGTTTTATTTTCGACCCTTTTTTTTGGTTTGTTTTCCTTTCAAACCTCGGTTTGAGATCATGGGCTCTTGTGATAGGCATCCAATTTGCTGTCTTCTGAACATCTATTTCTTTGGGGAAACGGGTAGGCTTACACCTGCAGGTCTCCTGGGCAAAGAAGTGACCCCTTTTATAGAGCCTGGCTGGATGCCTGGGGGGGCGGGGCATGTACGGGGAAAGAAAAATTCAGGGTTCGAAGCTTCCAGAATATCCATGTTTTGCTCATGTTCTGGCCTGGCCAAGGACAGAAAGCTTGGCCAGAACAAAGAAGCCCTTCTATGTGACCATTCCGCTACCTTGAGTCAACCCAGCCCATTTCTGTGCTGTCCTGGGATCCGGAACAGCTGGGATTATGGGCTGCCTGAGAAATCAGTGTGGAAGCTTACATTGCCTCCCTAAACTTCTCGTGTGTGTGTGTGTGTGGGGGGGGGGGGAGGCGGGGGGCGGCTGCAGAATCCATGTCCAATAGGGCACTCAGGGGGAGGGGGAGATTTCTGTTTTAGATTAACAGGAGGATTTATCATGCCAGAAGGTCAATATTTACCTTGGCTTCAGCTTGATGAGTATTTACTTCTCTGCTCAGTGGCTCGTTCCGCTGACTTCAGCAGAACAGAAGATCTGCTTTTTGTCTGCGGAAAAGGATGCTGACTGATATTTTCTTATCAGAAAGGCCCGGTAACAGAGTTGCAGAGGATCCCCCTAGTCAAGTGTGTATGTGTGTGTGTGTGTGTGTGTGGGGGGGTGTCTCCTTCCACCAAGAAATCTGATCCCTCTTTGTAGAAACCTGTTTTTTAAGGCATGTTTGAACTTACAAAACGAGGAAAGCACGGCTCCTGGACAAATCACTTCTCTCAACTCCTTGTCTGAAAAATGGGAATTCTGAGAGCCCCTGCCTGCCCATGTCAGGGTTGTGGCAAACAGTGGAGGTGCTCAGTAAAGCCCCGCCAATCCTCATTTGTGGGGTTTTCGTTGTATTGAGGTTGGGAGGGGTGGGTTAGGTGATTGCCCAAGGTCACCGAGGAAGAGAGGAGGAAAGGGGCCAGCACTGCAGACAGGGTCCCAGCTCCAAGCCCTTATGGCTCAATTTCTTGGGCTCTTGGCAATGGTGGCTTCTGCCTTTCCCAAAGCACTAACGTGTATTTGGGGGGGTGCCACACGCACGGCTGTGGAATATTGAGACAAGTGCTTGTGTGGCGTGCTGACAAGGCCAGCCAATCAATTCTATGCTTGGGGACCATTAAATTCTAACGGTACTGCCTGGTCCTTTATTTTGGGGTGCTCACACCTTGCCACTGTTGCCACCCACCACATGTATGTTTTATCTAAAAAAATAACACAAACTGCACATTCTACACAATAACACCCCCATATTTGTTTTATTTTTAAAATTTTTATCTTTTTTTTAAAGATTTTATTTATTTATTTATTTGACACAGAGAGAGAGAGAGAGAGAGAGAGCGTGAGCACAAGCAGGGGGAGTGGCCGGCAGACCAAGAGGGAGAAGCAGGCTTCTGGCTGATCAGGGAGCCCGATGTGGGGCTCGATCCCAGGACCCTGGGATCATGACCTGAGCCGAAAGCAGTTGCTTACCAACTGAGCCACCCAGGCATCCCTTTTTTTTTTTTTTAAAGTAGTCTCCGTGCCCAACGTGGGGCTTGAACTCACAACCCTGAGATCAAGAGTCGGATGCTTTACCGACTGAGCCATCCAGGTGCCCCTCCTGTATGTGTTCCAAAATAAAGTTTTGTTTTAAATTGTTGACCACAGATATATATACACAATGGAATACTATGCAGCCATCAAAAGGAATGAGATCTTGCCATTTGCAACGACGTGGGTGGAACTGGAGGGTGTTATGCTGAGTGAAATAAGTCAGAGAAAGACATGTATCATATGACCTCACTGAGATGAGGAATTCTTAATCTCAGGAAACAAACTGAGGGTTGCTGCAGTGGTGGGGGGGTGGGAGGGATGGGGTGGCTGGGTGATAGACATTGGGGAGGGTATGTGCTATGGTGAGCGCTGTGAATTGTGCAAGACTGTTGAATCACAGATCTGTACCTCTGAAACAAATAATGCAGTATATGTTAAGAAAAAAAAAAAGAAGATAGCAGGAGGGGAAGAATGAAGGGGAGTAAATCAGAGGGGGAGATGAACCATGAGAGACGATGGACTCTGAAAAACAAACAGGGTTCTAGAGGGGACGGGGGTGGGGGGATGGGTTAGCCTGGTGATGGGTATTAAAGAGGGCACATTCTGCGTGGAGCACTGGGTGTTATGCACAAACAATGAATCATGGAACACTACATCAAAAACTAATGATGTAATGTATGGTGATTAACATAACAATAAAAAATTGAAAGAAAAAAAATAAATTGTTGACCACAGAATTAGACATAATGGGTTTATCCTGGGGCTCCAAGAGTCATCTGAGAAAACTCTGCGCACTCTGGGTATGAGCCTCCTGATCAGTCCTACCCTGGGGATTTGAGAAGGGTGGTTTTTATCAGTTTTATCACTCACCAAAGCCTTGCAAATTATCATAATTAACATTTGTTGAGCATTATAAGATATTACCTGCAGCATCCAGGCACTTCCTGTGAATAATTCATTAAATTCTTTTAGCAAACCCAAGCCTTAGGTGCTGTTATTATTATTGATTTTACAGATGAGGATGCTCAGAGAGGTTAGGTAACTTGTCCAAGGTCACACAGCTGGTACTTGTTGGAGTTGGACTCCACTGTTTCTCTACTAAGCCTTCACTGCATGACACAAGAAGTCACTGTATGACACAAGAAGTTGCCTGGTTCGCGGTCATGGGGCCAGAATGAACTTTCTTGTCCTAGATATGAAGGGAAGGACCAACCTCAGACAACTGCCCCCGTCCTGAAGCTGCTGGGATGAATTAATTCTTTTCCTACAGCTTTTCATCCTAAAAGAATCCTGCAGAATACGAAGTAGTGGTATCCTCTCCTCTCTTCGGTCCTTCTAGCTGGGGCGCAGCCTGTGGCCCTGGAAAAAAATGACTTTAAGATAAAAAGGAAATTCTTAAAAAAAAAATAAATCTTATTCTCTTCCTGTCACCCCTGCAGTATAAAAGTCATTTACGATCACATGGAATTTCTCGTGTCTCATTCTGAAAGTAGACGAGAGGAAGAAGAAAGACAGAATGTTTACAGATTCCTGGGAGATGGGGAATGACCTCATCACTTACTGGGAGTGAGCCAACTGTCCAGGGAGCACAGATCAGTTTTGGGGAAGGCCCTGAAATTCCCCGGATACCCCAAATTCTCCAAATCTTTTAGGTCTTGAGAGAGGGATGATGGTAAGATGAAAAGGAAGTCATCCCAGGTCCAGATGACACTTCCCATTATGGGCGGTCCACTCTGAGATGGACTCATCATCCATCCTGAGTCCTGTTCAGAGACTCGGGACTTGGGAAGTGTGGGTGTGCCATTGAAAAGGCCTCGGCAGGATTTGAGGGAACTGAGTGGAGAAAGAATGGGTAGTTTGGGGGAGAGGGTGGAGCGGGTTGGATATGATATTTTGGGATACATACTCAAGGGGGTACCAACGGGATATGTAAGCAAGAGGGCAAAAGCCACAGGAGTGGGCCTTTCCGTCCACCTTCCTAACAGCATCCTCTAAAAACAATCCCACAATTCTCTTACAAAATGTATTGCAACCCATTAAGCACTTCCATATTGGATGGCTTCTCTCCAGATTTACCGACATTTTACAGACTAGGAGCTCCCCACTGTGAACAGGGCCAGAGGTAGCCTCAGGGCCTCTGTCAGCCCCTAGGATGCTCTGGCAGAGAACTGGAAAGACTCCCAACCTGGGGAGTGGGGCACAAGCTGGATTTCAGGGCCCACCTGTCTCTCGCATGAGGTACAGTGCTGTGGGTGTCCTGCAGCCCAGAAAAGACCAACCTGCGGCCAGGCTGGTGGGCTCAGCTTGTCCATCTGTAAAAGGTGGGAGGTAGGATGGTATTAGATCTCCCCTCCCCCCTTCCCCCAGCTTCCTTCCAGATCCGATGCCTCACAAATTGGTGATTCCAGAAACAACTTCTCACCCCAAATCCTGCGCTTTCCTCCTTCTGTGCTACAGCTCATCTTGGAGAGAGAGCTGTCGAGGTAGAGGGTGGAGGTGAACGGGAAGAGGATTCTAGGGAAGCCTGGGTGTGCAATAGTTTGGTCCAAAGGGCCCTGGACCAGGACCGCGTTGTTTTTCGGCTTAATTCTTGTGAGCCTCGGTTTCCACCTCTGAAAAATGGGAACGGCGCCACCTAATACAGAGGGCAGCTTGGGCCAGGGGAAACTGCCAGGCATGGAGTGGGTGCCCCACGAGCGTTTGCGGGCCCGAACAGGGCTTGGTTGGGAAGGTTCTAGAGAGTGTGGTGTGCGCGAGGACGCAGGAACAAGGTCTGGCTTTCCCGGCACGCGCGGCTCCCGGACCCCCAGCTCTGCGGCCACTGGCGCCTCCTCGGCCGCGGACCGCCGAGGGTTAATGAAAAAGCCCCACGCCCCCTTTGACGGCGCAGAGCCCACCTCGCCGAATTTGAAAAGGCGGCCCTGGTGAGGCGTGGGCGCCCCCCAGAAACTTCCAACTCCTGGCCGCGCTCCACTCGCTCGCCGGCTCCCTCGCTGTGCTCCCGGCGGGGGCCGCGGGTTCGGTCCGGCCGCGGGTGCACTCCCGCCTGTCCTCCCGCCCGGGCTGCGGGTCCCCGCGGGCGGCCGCGCAAGATGAAGCTGGCTCTCCTCCTGCCCTGGGCGTGCTGCTGCCTCTGCGGGTCGGCGCTGGCCACCGGCTTCCTGTACCCCTTCCCGGCCGCAGCCCTGCAGCAGCACGGCTACCCCGAGCCGGGAGCCGGCTCCCCGGGCAGCGGCTACGGGAGCCGCCGGTGAGTAGCGCGGGGCTGTGGGGCCTGGGGGTGCTGAGCGCTGGGGGTCCGGAGCGGTGGGGGCTGGGGGCTGCAGACAAGGGGCTGAGGGGCGGGGGGCGCCGGGCAGGGCGTGGGGGTGGGGGATGGAGGGGCTGAGGGGCGGTGGGCTGCGGACGCGGCGTGGTTGGGGGCTCGGGGCCTCGGACAGCCGGGGCTGGGGGCGCGGGGCTGAGGGTCAGGAGGTGCGGGGCCCGGACTGCGGTGGTCTCTGGCCGCGCCCCCCCCTTCCTTTCTTTGCTCACCCAACCTTCCCCCCTTGGGCTCCCGGCTCCGAGTGAGGGTGGCTGAAACCTGCGGCGGGGGCGCGCGGACGGGGCGACCGTGGCCCGCTGGGGCTGGGTGGCTCAGCCCGGGGGTGTTTACCGGCTCACGTGGCTCCGCCGCGCTCCCCTGCGCGGCCGCGGCTTTGTGTTGGGGAGCAGGTTCCCGGGTTGCCAAGGCCGAGCGTCCGGGGTCTCCCGCCTCTCCTGCCGGCTGCCCAGGGACACCGGAGGGGCGATTCCGTCCCGTCTTGGGGGCCGAGGCCGCGGAGGAGCCTCGGCTGCGCCTCCGCGGCCACCTGGGGAACCCGGCTTGGATCGGAGGGGTCCGCGGTGGGGCGGGAGAAGGAGCGAGGTCACCGAGACCAAGGTGCCGGGACGCACCGGTGGCGTCCTCCTCTGCCGGCAGGTGGCGCCCTGGCCACCCCCTCCCCCCCCCCCCCCCCCCCGGGAACGGTCTCCTCGCCGCGCGGTTGAATTCCCCCAGAAAACGCGTAAGCACGCGAGGAAAAGTTGCCAAACGCCTCGTTTGCGCAGCTCATTCGAATTTAGCTTTTCCTCATTCAATAATTACAACTCCCGCCGCTGTCATAGATCTCTAGAGCACACAACGTGCGTTCATTCGTACCTTCCACGCCTTTTGATCCTAAAACCACTCCAAGGGTACCTGTTACAGCATAATCTTTCCTTCAAGTGAGGAAGTTGAGCCCCAGAGGGAGGTCCCCAAGTTTGTGGCAACTCAAGACTGACCTTCGGTCCGCTTTCTCCAAATCCTGAGCTTTCTGCCGCACCGCTCTCATTATTATGGAGGAAGGCAAGAGACAGGTCCCAGTTCGTTCTCCTCCGTGATATTTATTTACCAAACCCGGGAGAGCTACCAAGATGAATCCTGGCAACGTCTTAGAGCCTCTGGGGAAACAGGGAAGTTTTTGTGCTGGGCACGTTGTACCCTCCATGGCTGGGTAAGGCGAGACTCCGAAAAGCCAAAAAGTGCTTCTGGAAAACTTTGCATACAATTTTATTTCCCTCATTTTGTTTGGAAATACTTACCCATGGCTTCTATTAGTATTATTCTCCAAACATCCACAGTAGTGTGGCCTCTGCACGCTTCCATATGAGATGAGTCTGAAAAAATAAACTTTTCAAGTTGTAGGAGGATATGTATAACATGATCTCATTTGTGAAAAAAACAAAAACAAAAACATTCTGATTTATGGGCATGTAAACGCGCAGAAATAAAGCTTGTAGGCAAACGTTTCTTGCAGTGACCTGTATGAGAGAACCAAGGCTGGAGGGGCAGGGGGAGGTGAGGTGGGTGGACTTCCATTTTCTCCCTCCGTGGACTTGGGTCTTGTTAGCCTCTTTTACCAGGAACATAAATTCATGTATTATTTTTGTAATTAAAAAGTGTGGGAAGGAAAGTCCTAAAAGGCTTCTGCAGTGTGGAACATGCATGCTGGGAAGAGCCAGAGGTGAGGTCCCTGAAGGAAGCGAGTGAATGGGGACGGGCGTTCTGGCGTTTGGTGGGCTGGAACTTGGGGGCCGCCACAGAAACTTGGAAGGGATTGTTGTAGCATAAATAAAAAGAGGCCCAAACAATTGTGGTAATCTTCCAGAACTCTTTCTACCAGGATGGAAGCCGGGAGAAGGTATAATTAAGTTTAAAGAGGATCTGGATGAATCTGTGGAAAATGGATTCCCAAATAGGATACGGGGAGGTGTTAAGGAGGCTTGGGGCAGGTTCCAGACACTTGAGATTGATGCTCCAGAGCTTAACTGAATCTTGCCATGCAAGGCCCAGCATGGCCATTGCAGCCTGGTGTCACACACTCCTGTGTCTCACGAGCCATCAGTCACAGGTGGCCTGTGTCCTTGAAATTCAAAAGCCCCAGAAGCAGAAGGCTTAGAGACAGCATTTGGCACCGTGCCCTTCATGGCCTTGGCCTTGGCCTCGGCTTTGGCTCCGTATGTGTGTTTACAGTGGCTTGGTCTCAGTCGATGGGCCAAGCGACAGAGCTGTTTCTTGACAAATAGTCCTCCTTTATTTTATGGTATTGCTCCTGTTGACATCTGAGTTTTGGATGTGGTGTGCATTTGCCTTCATGTGTGTGCGTGTGCACATGCGTACAAGCCTGTGCCCGTCCTTCTGGGTCTGACCTGGGCTGGGGGCACCTTGCCTAACCCACGGTGCTCTGCTTTGGTCCCCTCTGTCAGAAGCCCAGGGTGCACCTCTCTGTTTAAGCTATTTTGGGGAAAAAAAAAAGAAAGGAGGACCCCACTTCCTCAGAGGGTTGTTCCCAGAAGAACCTAGCGGCCCTGTATACGGGCCACTAATGATTTTTGCTGGCCATAGAGCTGTTCAGGTGCCAAATAAAAGCTGAAGGGAAATGCAGCATTAATGTACCTGCTGGGTTGCGCTAAGAACAGAGCCCCCAATCCCCTGCTGTAGTCTCTCCATTCTACCCTAGTAAGCATAATGCATTTGTGAAACTCTTTAGAGTATACACATTTCCCTCTTTTCCCTTTCTTCTAGACTCCTTCCCTCCCCCTCTTCTCTGACACAGATGTTTATGGGGGGGTCTTGTCTGTTGTCTCCTCCTCACCTCTATCTCCAGCCCTAAAAGGGGCCAGAACAGGGTGATCAGGGCACAAGGAGTGAGATCAGACAAGGGTTTTTACGCCTTATCCATGTTAAGGATACGTCTCCCAGCTGGAGGAAGGAGAAATTTTAATCCAGATAAATAATAAATTTTTATATTTCGTATTAATTTTTGGACTGGAGGTATTCTTCTGACTAGGAGAAAACAGAAGAGATGTGGGACCTGCCCAGATTGCAGCAGAGGAAGGAATGAGTACGTCTGGAGAGTGGGTTCATGGGGCGGGGGACCAAGGACAAAGCTGTTTTTTGCTTCTCCTCCGAAGAAGAAAGCTCATTCCAGAAACTGCTTACCCTTGTGTAGGGCCCGAGGCATGAGAACAAATGGAACCCACACACCGTAGGGCTACATGTCTATATGTTATGACTCAGGCTAACGGATGGTTCAGTAAGTGGGTTCTGTCCACCAGCCTTGATGAGTGTACCTTCTCAGTGACCTGGAAAGCTGGGTCGATGAGGAATTCATAGATGCCTCAGAACTCTGTTCTGGAAAATGGTGGTGGGGTGGAAAATAGAGGGGGGCTCTGGCCCGCCCTCTACCCTGGATTCCTCCCACACGGTGAGGGGCTTTGTGCTCAGGCTTATGAACCCCTCAAGCTGCATGTCCAAGATCACTCCACACCTGTTGGCCTAGAAGTGGGCAGACTAGCTCCGGGGTCTACCTGGAAGGATGGTCATACCTTTAGTGATGCTGATAGTAATGAATGAGGAATGGTTTCTCCTTGAGCCCTCACCAGCTGGTGGCCTGTTCCATCCTTGTGGCTTGACCTGCATGAACCTGTCATCCTTACCATGCCTCTGGAGGCTGCCCACTCACTCCCTCCCTCTCCCCACTCTGCCATTATTCTGGGCACCGGGATGTCTAGGTGTGTGGCTCACCAATGCCCCACGTTGCTCTAGGCCTCCCCTTCCCCTTAGCCACTGTCCTTGGCCTTGTGCCTTGCCAGGCTCTCACTACCTTGCATGAACCTCCTCACACCTCAATATGTCGCTGTCATAAATTTCATACGTTCTGGACACAGGCTCTGCCATCTCACCCCTCACTCGCCTGGCTGACCCCTCCTGTGCTCACTCCGTCTTCTCTTAGCCTGTCTACTTGTCCCATCTTTGTGGCCTTCCGAACTTCAACTTCTTGTCCCCTTGAACTTCTCTCCTAGCTGCCTAGAAAGGCAGCCTCCTGTGGAGGGTCGGGGGGGCTGTGGATCTGCTGTAGGAAAGCCGTTGCTCATCAGCAGTGGTGATGGGGTCTGCTTTCCTGCCTCTCTGCCCAGGTACCTGGAGATAGGGGGTGTGCCAGCCAGCCCCGTGATGGTGAGGCTGTGTAGCCTGGTCCAGGACCAACCTAGCCACTGTCTGGTGGGGCCTGTTTTAGTTCTATAAGGATCTGTCTTTCTCCTCTGCACGGCTGCCCGATGGACCTTTCTCAGCAGCAGCAGAGAGCACTCTCCTCTGGTTCAAGCCCTTTGGTGACCCACCATCTCCTGCATCGGCGTAGCTGACAAGTTTCAGTTCTTAGGTCAGCTCTTAGTGACTGGTAGGGGCCGACCAGGCCAGTGGGTTAAGAAGGATTCTGAAGTGGAGTCTGGGCTCCGGGAGGAGTACCAAGACAATTGAAGGATGTCACTGTGACTGAGGGACAGGAAAGTGGAGGCAAGTGTGATGTATTTACAGCCTTGGCCTTTATGATAAAATCTACTTTCTCCAGCGTCACATGTAAAGGCTGTCTTTTTTTTTTTTTTTAAGATTTTATTTATTTATTTGAGTGAGAGAGAGTGAGCAAGCAGCAGTGGGGGTGGGAGGAGGGAGGTTGGGGAAGGGCAGAGGGAGAAGCAGGCTTCCCGCGGAGCCGGGAGCCTGACGCGGGGCTCGATCCCAGGACCCCGGGATCATGACCTGAGCCGAAGGCAGACGCTTAACCACTGAGCCACCCAGGCGCCCCTAAAGGCCGCCTTTTTAAAGCCCATCATTTGTCCTCTACACCATCTATACCGTATTAGTTATTTCTGTTTCTTTGCATCTGCTGTTTTGATTTGTTTGGAATG